GTAACAGGGGCAGTAGCAAAAGGACCAAGATGAAGAAGAGCAGGAAGCAGCAGCAGCAGCAGCAGGATGAGGAAGAGCAGGGAGGGAGGGTTGGGGGTGGGGGGAGGGGCAGGAGCTGAAGAAGAAGGAGATCGAGGAGGATGGGTGATGAATGTGGGGGCGGGCGCATGGCAGGCAGGGCAGGGCAGATAGGAGAGAAGAGAGGAGACATGGACAGAGGATCTTTGGAGCAATGGAAGTTTGACACCGTCAGGGCTGGAGGGTAGGAAGGAAATGAAGATTGAGATCAGGAGAGGGTTCGGGATGAGAGGATTTAGGACAGGAGAGATTTCATAGCATCATGTGGAACTACAAGGGTTCTCTGGTTTTGAGCAAAAGTAGAATGAACTCTCTTAATATGCTAGTAGTCAGTATCACGTTTCATGGCTGTGTCCTTCGTTGCCTTTCACTGTTCAGACAGAAACGAGTATTTGAATGAAGCTATCAGCCCTTTCTACATCCCAACTCGCTCCTCCTCTTCCCTTCCCCAGCTTTCTTTTGTGTCTCTCCTGTACCCTTTCGTTTCTACTATCCTCCCTATCAAGCGTACAACGAGAAAACATGGTTCAGTAGCAAGATGACCATCACGGCAAGCAAAGATCCGCTTTCTTCACTTTTATCCTCTTCCTTCTCATATTGATCAATGAAGAATATTAGAGTACAAGTCCACCTCCGCTGACATGTTTTCCCTGTTGCCGTCACTCAAAGTTGTGGAGGTAGCATACAACTTCCGTATCAGGAGTCCTGCCATGATGTCGTCAAGGGAGCATACAGGAGCCACGACAAGCTCACATGGCGCCGATGACTTCGGGAGGAAGCTGCACGTTCATTGAATCTAGCATGTTCTTGCATTCGCTCCATGGACTGCGGAGCAAGAGAGGTCAACACAGACGCGTTGATCATGTCGATGGTGTTGAACAAGCAACCACAACATCAGATGTTTCACAATCCCATCAATTCTTTGTGTTGCCCATCAATGTGTAAAATATCGCATTGCTTGCCACAACTCCAAGGAACTTTCTCATCACGAATAATCATCAATATCACAGAAACATGAAAACAAGAATCATCAACATCACAGAAACATGAAAGCGAGAATCATCAACGCCTCGCGATTCTTCTTACATTTCCTTCTCTCCTTCTACGATCGTCGGCTCCCCTTCCCCCTCAAAGACCGCCAGCCGCGGCCTCAGCAACCGGAGCAGCATGGCCAACTAAAAGGAGACGTGGGGGGTATTGGGGTAGTCCCATAACCGGTACAAATTAGTGAAAAATCCATTTCTGACAGGGGGTGTATGGGTAGGAGGGACAGAAAAAGAGGGGGTAGGGAGATACTGCCGACGAAGAGTCAAAAAATGATGTGGATCGCTATGCCAATGCTTACAAAGGTGATGGAGGAGGAGGAGGTGGAGGAGGAGGAAGAAGAGGAGGAAGAGGAAGAGGAGAAGGCAGGAGGCAGGAGGAGGCAGGAGGCAGGAGGGAGGGGGAAACGGGGGGGGCAGGAGCAAGAGGGAGAGAAATCAGGGAAAGGAAAAGCTGGGAGGAACATGTTACCAAGACACGGCATACTTGCGCATTCATCCTCACATTTCTTTCAATAGGGGCCAACTGCCTTCCCTGAGTTCAATGCTGCTGGATACAACACCTCCACCTACGCCTACCCCGCGACCGCGCACGGCAACGAGGTTTATTACAACCAGTACGACGAGATCGAAATCCGTAAGTCCCTCCGACTCCCACCCTCTTCAACTTGTACTTCCTCCTTTCCTCCCCTCATTGTTCGTCCCTCTCCTCCAACTCCTCCCATGGTCGCTCAACCAACTTCCTCTCTTCTCTCTCTTCCTTCATCATTTCCTCTTGATCTCACCCCTCACTTGTTCTTCTCCACTTTCTTCGCTCTGCTCCAATGCTTTGCTATCCTCATTCTAGTCTTCTTCCTCCTCTCCTCGAAATGTCTCGTCCTCCTGATTTCTTTACCTAGCTGTTCACACTTGGACTCATACCGATTTCGACCCCTCCGATGTTCTCCCCGCCTCCTACCTGGTCTACTAAGAGGACGAGGGAGAGGAGGAGGATGGAAATGGAAATGTTCAGCTCACTAGCGAGATCTCTGTGTCTATAGGTTGCAATGTATGAGATTCCGCAAAGAAAGTTTATGTACAAGGATGGAGAGCCAACGTCTCTTCCTCCTCCTCCTCCTCCTCCTCTTCCTTCTCCTCTTCCTCCTTTCTTGCTCCCACTATTTATCCGACCCGCTCGGGTTTACGCTCATGCGGTAATGGCCGTACCTAAAGCATGCATGAGAAGGGAAGGCCGATGAAGGAGGAGGGGTCAAGGGGAGAAGAGTGAGAGAGCGGGAGTGAAGGAGTACCTCCTGGAAGGTGATTTGCCCTTGCACCACCTGAAACATAAGCTTCAAGTCAGTTCTGCTCCCTCCCTCCCTCCCTCCCTCCCTC